TGAAGATATCATATAATTTTTAAATTTGCAGGATGCCTATTATTGACAAATTCAAGGACATGGGAACTGTTGTTATGGGCAAAGCAGAGTCTGGTAGTGTGATGGAAGGTGATACTTTGATGGTCATGCCAAACAAGGTCTATACTCTGATCTGTCTTTATCTCCTTGCTCTCTATTTCTTGTTTAGGCTGTGTGATATATCACTTTGTGTACACATCTGCAGACTCAGGTGAAAGTTCTTGCTGTGTTTTGCGATGAAAATAAGGTAAGACGTGCAGGACCAGGAGAAAATTTGAGGGTTAGATTATCTGGAATTGATGATGAGGATATATTGTCGGGTTTTGTTCTTTCAAGTGTTGGTAAGTTTCTTAAGTTTGCTTGTTGAAGTTGCAAATAAAGGTCTATTAGTCTTTGATGTTCTGAAAAGAGCTATTTTTTTTCTTCAACAAGTTGATATTCAAGTATGTGGTTGTGTGAGCATTGTTATATTTTTCCGACTCCATTCTTGTTGATCAGACTTTTTATTGTTACTTCTTTATGCAGCAAGGCCAATCTTTGCAGTTACAGAGTTTGATGCCCAGTTGCAAATCCTTGAGTTACTGGATAACGTATGCCTACAAGTGTTAATTTTGTTTTTTTTTTCACTCATTCCCTTTATTTTCTAGTCTTGCCAATAGCTTGTTATGCCTATGATTTTTATAGATCTGCCTTGATGTATACTGTATCATCTAAACCAGAACTTTGTTGTTGATTTTGTAGGCAATTTTTACAGCTGGCTATAAGGCTGTCTTGCACATACATTCTGTTGTTGAGGAGTGTGAGATTGTTCAGCTGCTGCAGCACATTGATCCAAAGACCAGGAAACCTATGAAAAAGAAAGTCCTCTTTGTGAAGAATGGCGCAATTGTTCTCTGCCGTATTCAGGTATTAGGATATGGCTTACATACCATTTTTCTCTAGAAATTTGTGTCCATTTATGAGCTCTTGAATGTTTATTGTGCATGCTGGTACATTTAAACATAGTTCACTTGTTAGTAAATTTCAAATTGAGTCAAAATTAATGTCAGAAAACCTTATTGATATTTATTTAGATCTTCCCTTGCTATTATGCCTGTTAGGTAAACAATTTGATATGCGTTGAGAAATTCTCAGATTTTCCACAACTCGGCAGGTTTACTCTTCGTACTGAGGGTAAGTTTCCGAACACAAGATTTAACTGATGCCTAATTTGTTAATTTGTTGAGATCACATCTCAAGTGTCATTTTGTTTTTCAGGGAAAACAGTTGCAGTGGGAAAAGTCACAGAACTTCCTTCTGGTTCTAATTTTTGAACAATTTTGCATTAAAGGTGAGTGTGTTGCTTTCTAAATCCTTGCATTTTTCCTTATCCAAATTAAACTGCAATTCAGCTTTGCACTTACTGGACAGTCTTGTATTGGAACAATTAAAGTTTTGTTTTGGTATTTTGGTTTAAGACGTGATATTTGCCTGTGTTTTACATGTATAATTTTTATGTTTCTTGTTCTGATTTGGTTGCCTTACATTTCTTTGGCATGTCTGCTGCATTTATTAACTGGTCTTATTGTGTACTTATCTCTGAATATTTATTTTGGTTTCAGAATATTATATACATCTATGGTTTTTTTCTTCTCCATAGAGGTTATTTTTATTGAATTGTTCTCAAAACAGCTTGTATAAAATCATGTCTTGATCTAACTGTGATGTTATTATTCATCTGATGCCACTCCTGATTCCAAGGAAAATACGGCTTTCTTGTGTTTCAGGTCATGAAATTGATTGATACCAATAATTAGGCTGTTGTATACATCTCCTTGACGCAACTTGAATTATTTTGACAGGCAATCAGAGTCAAATGGACCACTTTTTGTGTGTTTTGGCAGCCCACCTATAAATCATTACATGTGTCGATTCATATATATGGGGGAAGGCGCTTCTTATGCAGTTTTTGGAGGTTGGGTAATGGGCACTGGTTCTTGTTCTTTATCCCCTGTTACAGAGTAGTGATGTTTTAGATGTTTTAATCACAGAATGTACCTGATTCACCAATTGCATGATTATTGATCAATGTCATAAGTTTGTCAGGCATGGGATTTTTCTTGATTCCCATATAGCGTGATATGCTGCTATGAAGTGAATTAAATGTTTTCAACATGTGTGCCATATTTGTGACATTATCCCCTCGGTTGAATTATCTATGTCTCCTGTTTTGATGCCACCTAGTTATGTATACTTGTTTCCATAACTAGGATATACACATTACATAGTTTAATGGTCTATTGCGTTTTTTTCCCCTTTTTTCCCTCCCAGTGTAACTTGTTTATTTCGGGGAGAGTAAATGTCAACCTTTGCCAATAGCTTTTATAGCTCATTGACAATGATTGACGCCAGGAAATTTCTTTAATATTCTTGGTATAATAATGTTTATTGCATTATTCTATTAATGGTTTAAGTTTTTAGGTTTTGAAGGGGTTAATAAAAGTCCACTGTAGTTTAGTAAATCGACAATTTGCATCGAGAACTTTTAAATGAAGATTCTAAAGGCCCGAGTTGAAATTTCATGATCATTGGTAATTGAAAAGACCTTGAAATAAGGGATGGAAGTTAATGTCTAGGATTGTATATATTTACTTTGTTGAATTAAGTTTTTGTTTTTTATTTTATTTTCTATTTATATCAAGAATTTTAATTTATTTAGTATTTTACTATATAACCATCATAATTTTATTAGTTGAGCTCTAATTATGAATTTTTTTTCTGTAAGCATTCTAGGTCTCGAACTAGTATAAAGAGTTAATGTCTAGTTTATTTTTGAAAGATATAAATTATTATTCAGATTTTTTTATTATTAAATATCAGAGATTTTTTCTAAATGATTGTAGAGCTTAGAGCTTGAGAACAGACGAGGATGGCGAGCTTGGGAGTAGAGAATGGATTGCTGGGAGCAAACTTAGAAACATATAATGGGTTGTTTGGATTATTGTAGAGCATGCATAGTGGAGAGAAATGTGCTTGAAGACCTATCTTGTGGTAGACCTTCTAGATCTGGTCAGAACACTTATCCATGCGAGAGTGAGTTTGGTGAAACAAAAATATCAAATTTATTTATATGAAGATAATGCTATAAAAAAGGATGCTGAACAATATCAGTATTTTGATAAAAACCAGCTTCTTCACAACACGCACTGCCGGTTTTAGGAAGATCATAGATTGTCAGCCCTAATAATATGTGCACAAATTTTGAAGTAAACCACCCGATTGATTGTAATCCCTACCTTTTTAATGGATTATCACTAGGAGGACATGTCAAGACCATATGGTGGCCTGGAGAAGTATTAATTTAGCCCTTCTCTTTTTCTAATCTGGTCATAGCTAGAATATAACTGCATTTTGATCTCCTGCTTTCAATTATATTTCAAAAGTATATGAGATTTAAAAAAAAAAAAGAAATGGGTGTCAATAACATGTAGAGAAAAGAGTAAAAATGAATGAAAAACGTTATTCAACTCCTTTCTTCAACATTTTATTTCGCAGTCTAGTGCTTTTTAAATAATTTTCATGTTAAAATATATATTAATGTTTTTTTAAAATTATTTTAAAGATTAATACTTTAAAATAATTTAAAAATACTAAAAATATATTAATTTAAACTATATAAAAAATAAAATAAAAAATTAAATATTTTTAAAATACAAAAACAAAGATAGTGTACATATCTTGCCACCTTCTCTGCCGAAGTTAGCCACTGGCCTCCCCACCATAGCCTTATAAAAAAGGATGCTGAACAATTTCAGTATTTTGATGAAATCAAGCTTCTTCGCAACACGCACTTGCCGGTTTTAGGTTGTCAGCCCTAATAATATGTGCACAAATTTTGAAGTAAACCACCCACTTGATTGTAATCCCTACCTTTCTATTTAATGGATTATCACTAGGAGGACATGTCAAGGCCATATGTTGGCCTGGAGAAGTATTAATTTAGCCCTTCCCTTTTTCTAATCTGGTCATAGCTAGAATATAACTGCATTTTGATCTCCAGCTTTCAATTATATTTCAAAAAAAAATAATGAGATTTAAAAAGAAAAGAAATGGGTGTCAATAACATATAGAGAAAAAAGAGTAAAAATGAATGAAAAACGTTATTCAACTCCTTTCTTCCGCATTTTATTTGTAGGGTGTTACTTTTTAAATAACTTTTCAAATAACTTAATTTTTGTATCAAAATATATATTAATATTTTAAAAAAATTATTTTAAAAATTAGTATATTAAAATAATTTAAAAACATTAAAATGTATTAATTTGAATTATATAGAAAATAAAAAAATTTAAATATTTTAAAATACAAAAATAAACAGAATATTGCGTACATGTCTTCCCATTTCTCTGCCGCAGTTAGCCACTGGCCTCCCCACCATAGCCTCCATAAAGAATCGATCCAACTGCCCTCTTTCTTTCTAGCCGAAGCAACCCAAATCGGTTCCCTCCATCACGGTGAACCACCAACCCATTTCCAAGTTGAACTAGCAGTCCCTTCACTGACACCTTACCCCGGGGAGACCAGCATCATTGACCCAAACCACAATCAAGCTGACGACCCAAAGTGAGATGTCAACCAAAACTTCCCATGCTTGAAACTTTCATTTCGGGTAGTTGCTAGTGACACTGCTAGCATGTGAGTGATGAGGAGGAGAAAGAGAACCACTTTATCTAACCAATCACGCGCCATCCCTTTCACCGGAGTGTGTATTAGCACGCCACTAGTAACATAAGCGTGTGAGCTACATGCGCTAACACCGCCACACCCAACCCCTTTGAAGGAAGGTTGATTTCAAAACCCTAAATGAATTTTTGAACAATACTTAACGTGTTACTGGATATATTGATTTCAAAACCGTCTCTAAAGGTTCATTTTCCATGTTCATGTGAAGGTGATTTTTTTTGTTTTCGGGATACTTTTCAAAGGAACAAAAATATATGCAATTAACTAGCAATCTTTAGCACTAATACACAAGACAGGACGGTAGAAATCTCACCTTCTCAAGCGAAGATTGAATCAGTTGAATATCTGGTTCTAATTTCCAAACAAGTAACGGGCATTATATTGTTTTTTCTTGTCCATCTTCAGGAAAAGGTGGGAATTAAGGATCGAACTCTCAAATATCCTGAGGAGATCAGGGGCCAGACCACATAATCTGATGACATTTCTCCTGTATCTTTCTATCCAAACCTGAAAAGATGTTTGAGAAATGATTAAGGGAAAAACTCCAAGAACCACGTCCATGTTCATTGAACAGAAAGTATATAAGGTGGTTAATTGGTTAATTGGAACTAGATAAACTGAAATGTAGTTATGGTTTAAGCTAAGCCCATGAATGATGCAACAATTACGTACCTTTTGCGTTGGGAACCTGGAGCAATTTACGCAAGGCATTCCTTGCACAAGCATAAATTCCTGCTCCAAAGGTTCAGTTTCTATAAACCTTAGCAATAAAATTTGTAATTGCTGAAAAAGCTCAGCACTGTGGTTGCAACATGCAGGGTTTTCAGGCTGGCAAGAGATTTTTTGAATCAGTTAGGTGTACTGGCAATGGAGGTTGAGCAAAATTGAGCAACATATGCAGTTTCAATATCTTCATATGGGTCATTCTGTACCTGCTGCAGATGCTCTGTTTCAGGTTCTTCTAGCTTTTCAGAGAAAGGCAGCGGAAGGGTGATGTCAGATTCTTGGAAGTAGGCCTTGGAGGAGTTGTGGGAGCGTAGCAGCTTGCAAAACAACAGAACATTTATTTCTGATGAAAACTAGGAAATTGTTTCACTGTACAGGAATAACTCTGTCAAGTATCAGAAACTATTTTAAAAGGTTGGAAACGAGCAGCACTGAAAAAGGAAAACAAAAGCAAGCAGAGACAGCAAAATCCTTCAAGTCAGGAGTTTATCGGACAGCCATGCTTTCAAAACCTTAATAGGAAACGAAAAAAGAAAAGGAAATGCATGAGAAAGGACTTGAGCAGCAATGGTATGGTAGTGTTACATATAGGCAAACTCTAAATACAATTGGAACACAACAGCACTAAGATATCCAAAAATAAATGTGGCAATTCTAGTAATCTCAGTAATGTTTCGGGTAGTCTAATTCTGAATCAGACGACGACCCAAACATATGCCAAGGAATGTGACACTCACATGGAAAGATAAACTAAACGAGCATGGCTGCATGGCAAGCATAAGGGAAAAAACACAGAATAATTATGTCCCGAGTCTCCAAGGGAATGCAGCAAGCTAGATTTCATACCACCAAAGCATGCTAATTAAAAATCAATTGCAATAAAAAAAAACATAAATCAATCAGAAAGAACTGGATCAAAGCGTAGTGACATTTACCAGAGTCATTAAGCAACTGCACACTCATCCAATCAAATAACATCCGCTCAGAGTAATGGTCATACAGAGCATCAAAGCCACCCCACCATTGCCTTCCTCCATTCGTTTGAGTTCGTCTCACCTTGCCCCTCCTCTTCCTCCTCCTCTTCAGCACATGACTCTTCTTCAGGAATCAGCACCATAAAACAGTTCCTTCTCAGTTCTTTCAACCTCCTCTTTACCTCATTGGTTATAAAATCATCATCATTGTCATCGTCCTCAGCTCCAGCTCCAGCTACAGGATCAGTGCTGGCTGATGTGTTAGTTACATTGTCACCACCTCCACCATTCTAATTTCTTGACTCCTCTGGCTGTGACCACAGGCTTATCTTCTAAATCCTTTTCTGGGTCTGGTTTGTGGGTTTTCCTGAGCCCTTTCACTTTAAAGAAATCCATCCGCCACCAACCACTAATCTCTTCTTTCTTCAAAATCGCATATAAAAAAGAAAGAAGCTTGGAATATATAAAACTGTTATGATTCCAGGGCCTTTTTTTTGTTTTTTTGTTTCTTCTATTATCTCAAATCTTAGAAGGTACCAAAGTTATATCCTCAGGTAAAATTGGTCCAAGCAGAATCTGATACGAGAGATTACCTAAGATCTCACCAAACTTCCTAGAATCTAAACTGCTTACTTCAAAAACCAGCGATCAAATAAACTAGGGACCCTAATAGCTGAATCAGCTCCAAACTCCGCGCCCCTCAACCAAAATAACCACTTTGAAGAGAAGTAACACTAACCTGGAAATTCTAACAACTGAAGGCAACAAAAGTACACTTTTTTAATCCAACAACCCAACTATCACCAAATTTCTAGCAATAAACCATTATCTGTAAACACGTTCGCTTGACATATAACAAAGTTGAAAGTATTCAAGTTTGGATCTTTATGAAGCTTAAAATAGTACATTTTGTAAGCCATAAAAACAAATTAGCATTAACTGGGAGAGAAAAACCCAAAAGCCCTCTTCAAAATTATTGCTTTACGGAGTATGTCAACAAAGCAAGACCCCAACAACACGGCAATAAAGACACCAGCTTTAGAGCAGAAGTAGTAGTATTTTTACCATTTCACAGCTTAAAAATCATAAAAAATTAGCAGCATTATACTCATCAGCAACACCCAAAAACAATACCAAAGAAGGATCTGAAACTGGAAAGAAAAACACCAAAAGCCACATCTTTGAGTGATGGTTACATAAAAAGGAAGAAAATGAAGACATTTAGAGACAATGTAGAACCCTAAGCAACTCAGAATATAAAACAAAGATTAGTGTCTGTTCGCATAATAAAATCCTAAACAATCTAGTACTTGCGATCAGAGAGAAGGTGGGAGGAGAGTGAAGTGTTTCGAAATATGAAAAAGTTTAATGATAATATATGTGAGCCATAAATGGCTTCTTCTTCTTCTTTTTCTTCTTCTTAAAAAAAAACTATGACGGAAAACATGAAAAAAGGAAAGAAATCGTTTCATTTTATGAAAGCAAAACAGTGATGCTATGGAGTAGGATTCCTTTACGCTGTTTTCTACACATTGTAATAATCCACATGACTGAAACAGTCATGGAAATCAGTGAAAAGCTTTTCGAACACCTTCCATTGCACTTTAATGGGTGTTGTATATGGGTATACAAGAAAGATCTAAAGAAAAATTGAACCATCTTTTAGTTTGGTGAGAAAGAGGATAGGTTCTAAGAGCAGCTTGCCACAAGCATTTTCCACGAAACACATTAGCCCATTGCCTTTTAACACAAGATATTTGAGCCCTCTCTGATACAGAACTCTGTCGAAAATCTCTATGAGCAGATGATCAGGAATTTTACAACTGGAGTATATATATACTGTAGTTTTATCTTCAACATCATTTGTCATTAGAAGTCTGCAAACAATGACCCAGATGTTGAGTTTAATACAAGAATTAAATGATAAGTGACTTTGTGCCAAGAAATTCTTCATATGAAGAAAGGCTCATGTAATTTCCACTACTTGTTTGAAAGATGAGGAAAATATCACTATCCAAATCGAACTTCATAAAAAAATATTTAAGGATCGACATCATAATGCTGGAAAGATCAATGGATTCCGTTATCCAACACCTCTACTTTCTAAAGCACTCCAAAGTGCATTGAAAACAGAAAGGAACCATAGACTTCATTCTAAACTCCAGTTCAGTTTATGCAAATCATTAATGCTGACAGTTACTTTTTTTTCCCAGAAATGTCCTGACGACAAATACAAAAATACTACTTGAATCGTGACATTGAACAACACTTTTGATTCAAGTGATCACTACACAGTGATGCCATATCAAATTCAACTTTGCAACTAAAAGGAAAAAAATGCAATTCTAATCATTTTGGTCATCAAGGCACAATTCTTACCAAGTATTGGGACAAATCAAGGAAAATTTTACCATCAATAGCAACATCTATGACCCATAGTTATCCGACAGATAAAAGAAATGAAGATAAAAATTAAAGATTAACACTTATATTTCTATTGAATAAATTGAACAAGAGCCAACATAAACTAGACAACATTTGATAGAAAAAAGGTAGAGAATATTGCTTACCAGCTCTTTCTTTTCTTTTCTTTTTCTTCGAGAAAAATAATGTTCATTTACCATTTTACATTTAAAATTACCATAACTATCCTACACATTGATGATTTATGGCATTTTCAGGCCACTCTACAGTGTCAAAGATCCCAGGAGGCCAAGACCATCGTGAAAAAATTTACATTGATGATCTCCTATTTTATTTTCCAGAAAACTTAGCGAAGTGCTCAACATATTCACTAAAAATGAAGATCGGATGCTCTTTCATGAAAACATACCATACATATTCAAACATGAAAACACATATTACCCAACTCTACAAAAAGAACAAAAGATCCTAAAACCAAAATAAGAAACACAAAATAATCTAAACTCACCAGAGCTGTTTGCGTATTTATTTGTTTCTCATTTGCAGAATTAGGGTAGCATCCACTAATGCCAAACTACATTAACGATGGGAACAATTCTTGTAAACTAATGAACATAGTACATAACACAGCAGAAAAATATTGACAGAGGGAAAGAAATCTGATATTTTATTGCAGAAAATAAAGATTACAGGGAAAATAAAACAAGTAAGATTACACCACTAGAAAAGAATCACTCTGATTTTAGAATTACACCAAAAATAAAACTTTAATTACAATCCAATCTACCAGACATAATATTGAAATACACATCACAGTTATTACTAATTACTAGATAACTATCAATTAAGATAATAACAATGACAAGTAACTTTTGTTTTGCCACTTGAAAATATGAGATGATTTTTAATTATTTTATTTATTTAAAATTAATATATTTTTAAATTATTTTGATGTGTTAATAATAAAAATAATTTTTTAAAAATAAAAAAATATTATTAATATATATTTTAATATAAAAAATACCCAGGTCAGCAACCCATCGACTCTCTATTTCCATGTGGCAAGATCCGACCGGTTACAGATAAAAGACAGCCTCCTCGTTCTACCAAAAAATCTATCGAGTGCCTCGGCCTTCATGTCTTATTTTACGCGTTTAGTTTCTTTATCTCCCGCTTCGTCTTCTCCTTCCTCCCTCTCACTCTCTGTTTCATTTTCAGTTCTCTGCCAATCTAATCTCTGTAAGTCCCATTCTATCTTTCACCAAAGCCTTTTCTTATTCTTCCCTTTGATTTGCTAAAGCAAAATCCTTTTCCATTTTTTTTTCCTCTGTGAAAAATGGTGAAGGATCATCCACTTTATTAGTGATATAGAGTGATTCATGTTTTTCTATCTGTAAATCCAATTTTCAAGAAATAAACACAGTTTTTTCGGGTTCTTGTAATCATAACTTGGACTAAAAAACTGCTGAGATCTCTCTCTTCAATTTTTAGTCGGGTCTCACCTGAGTTACACCGGGTTACTCAGGTTTCGGGTTGACCCAACCGGTTGTCTAAATTTGATCAGGCAAATTGCAAGCCCGAGCTAACCCACCAGGCTACAACTACCCAAAAAGAGAAATTAAATTGAGCTTAAACATTCAATTGAGAAAATTAACATGAACCCAGAACTAAGATCTAAAAAGACCATGAAAAAACTGAAACCAACAGTTCATCAAACTTTAGATTATCAAGAACAAAAAAGAAAAACCCCAAGTTGGTTGATGAAAACGCTTCCCCGATGAGCCTCTTACTTTCCTTTTTTGATCAAGAAGAAGTACTTCAATCTGCCAAAATTAAAACGGGTGAGGAGAGAGGAGAAAACGCAAGATTCAAAACGATGCTGGAGCGAAGCAAGAAAGATCACCAGAATCTCTGATTGCACCTTTTCAAAACTATTTATAAGCAACCTGCAAATTCGACAATAATATAAATAAGGTTATTACGGTCATTTCATTCGAAATTTTTTTTTTATATATATATATAATGTCATTTTTAAAAGAATAAAGTTAAAGTAAAAAATAAACCTTACAATGGGACAATGAGGGTAATTTTTCCTAATAATTATTAATACGTAACTTCTCATTGTTTGTCACTAAAAGAAATGATAATAAAAATACAAAAAATGAAAATTTATTTGATACACGTTGTATTTATATATTATTTGGGCTCATTTTATATATAATTAATTTAAAGAGGTCGAAGATTAATTAATCATTATTTTTAAAGCAAGGATTAGATGAGGTTAGCAAAACTAGATTCTTTTTAGATTTTGGTAGTCTCTCACCTTAAAAACTGATAAGTATATATAATAGTTTAGGTAAATTCAACACAAAAAATATATTTTTTTTTTTATCATAGCAAGTAAATAAGATGCAATTTATTTTAGGTAAAATGTTTTAGAATAATTTTTATTTTTATTTTTTTATATGACTAATTCCTTATTTAGAACATCTAAAACAATAATTAGGGTTATAATTACCATAAACTAGGTAATGATTTATTTTTTTAAACTCTACTTCTTTTTTTATACTTGGTTCATCGAGATGTTTTATGTATATATTTTTTAATTTATGGTATTAAACACAAACATCATCTTTCTATATTTTATTTAAAAAAAATTAGAAGATAAAAAAATAAATTCATAATATTATTGATACAAATCAGGTCAAGTCTAAATTTA